CTAGCAAGGCAGGCCATATTCAAGTCCAGGAAATACACAGAACACCACAAAGATACTCCTCAAGAAGAGCAACCCCAAGGCACATAATCAGATTCACCAGGGTTGAAATGAAGGAGAAAATGCTAAGGGCAGCCAGAGAGAAAGGTCGGGTTACCCACAAAGGGAAGCCCATCAGACTCACAGATCTCTCAGCAGAAACCCTACAAGCCAGAAGAGAGTGGGGGCCAATATTCAACATCCTTAAAGAAAATAACTTTCAACCCAGAATCTCATATCCAGCCAAACTAAGCTTCATAAGTGAAGGAAAAATAAAATACTTTGTGAACAAGCAAGTACTCAGAGATTTCATCACCACCAGGCCTGCTTTACAAGAGCTCCTGAAAGAGGCTCTACACATATAAAGGAACAACCAGTACCAGCCACTCCAAAAACATACCAAATGGTAAGGAGCATCAACACAATCAAGAATCTGCATCAACTAACGTGCACGACAGCCAGCTAGCATCAAAATGGCAGTATCAAATTCACACATAACAATATTAACCCTAAATGTAAATGGACTAAATGCCCCAATCAAAAGACACAGACTGGAAAACTGGATAAAAAGCCAAAATCCATTGGTGTGCTGTATCCAGGAAACGCATTGCACATGCAAGGAGACACAAAGGCTCAAGATAAAGGGATGGAGGAAGATTTACCAAGCAAATGGAGAGCAAAAAAAAAGCAGGAGTTGCAATTCTCGTCTCTGATAAAATAGACTTTAAAGCAACAAAGATCAAAAGAGACAAAGGAGGACATTACATAATGGTAAAAGGATCAATGCAACAAGAAGAGCTAACGTTCCTAAGTATATATGCACCCAATACAGGAGCACCCAGATTCATAAGGCAAGTTCTTAATGACTTACAAAGAGACTTAGACTCCCACACAATAATAGTGGGAGACTTTAACACCCCATTGTCAATATTAGACAGATCAACCAGACAGAAAATTAACAAGGATATCCAGGACTTGAACTCAGACCTGGAACAAGACAACCTAATATACATTTAGAGAACCTTCCACCCCAAATCCACAGAATATACATTCTTCTCAGCACCACATCACACCTACTCTAAAATTGACCACGTAATTGGAAGCAAATCACTCCTCAGCAAATGCAAAAGAATGGAAATCATAGCAAACAGTCTCTCAGACCACAGTGCAATCAAGTTAGAACGCAGAACCACATCTTCATGGAAACAGAACAACTGGCTCTTGAATGTTGACTGGATAAACAATGAAACGAAGGCAGAAATAAACATGTTCTTCCAAACCAACGAGAATGAAGACACAGCATACCAGAATCTCTGGGACACATTTAAAGCAGTCTCTAGGGGAAAATATATAGCAATAAGTGCCCACATAAGAAGCAAGGAGAGATCAAAAATTGACACCCTATCATCAAAATTGAACGAGCCAGAGGAGCAAGATCAAAAAAACTCAAAACCTAGCAGAAGACAAGAAATAACTAAGATTAGAGCAGAACTGAAGGAGATAGAGACACAAAAAACCCTTCAAAAAATCAATAAATCCAGGAGCTGGTTTCTTGAAAAGATCAACAAAATAGACCACTAGCCAGATTACTAAAAAAGAAAAGAGAGAATAACCAAATAGATGCAATAAAAACGATAAAGGGGATATCTCCACAGATTCCACAGAAATACAAACCATCATCAGAGATTATTACAAACAACTCTATGCACATAAACTAGTAAAGCTGGAAGAAATGGATAAATTCCTGGACACGTGCCTCCTGCCAAGCCTAAACCAGGAAGAAGTCAAAACCCTGAATAGACCAATAACAAGGTCTGAAGTTGAGGCAGAATTAAGAGCCTACCACCCAAAAAACACCCAGGTCCAGATGGTTTCACAGCCGAATTCTACCAGACATACAAAGAGGAGCTGGTACCATTCCTTCTGAAACTATCCCAAACAATCCAAAAAGAGGGAATCCTTCCCAAATTATTTTATGTGACCAACATCATCCTGATACCAAAACCCGGCAGAAACTCAACAAGACAAGAAAACTTCAGGCCAATATCCATGACGAACATAGATGCAAAAATCTTCAATAAAATACTGGCAAGCTGATTGCAACAGCACATCAAAAAGCTTATCCACCATGATCAAGTAGGCTTCATCCTGGGGATGCAAGGCTCATTCAACATACGCAAGTCTATAAATGTAATTCACCACATAAATAGAACCAAAGACAAAAACCACGTGATTATCTCAATAGATGCAGAGAAGGCCTTTGACAAAATTCAACAGCATTTTATGCTAAAAACCCTCAATAAACTAGGTATTGATGGATCGTATCTCAAAATAATAAAAGCTATTTATGACAAACCAACAGCCAATATCATACTGAATGTGCAAAAACTGGAAGCATTCCCTTGGAAATGTGGCACTAGACAAGGATGCCCTCTCACCACTCCTATTCAATATAGTATTGGAAGTTCTAGCCAGAGCAATCAGGCAAGAAAAAGAAATAAAGGGTATTCAAATAGGAAAGGAGGAAGTCAAATTGTCTCTATTTGCAGACGACCTGATTGTATAAGACCCCATTGTCTCAGCTCAGAATCTCCTGAAACTGATAAGCAACTTCAGCAAAGTCTCAGGATATAAAATCAACATGCAAAAATCACAAGCATTCCTATACACCAATAACAGACTGAAAGACAGCCAAATCAAGAATGAACTGCCATTCACAATTGCTACAAAGAGAATAAAATACCTAGGAATACAACTAACAAGGAATGTAAAGGATCTCTTCAAGGAGAACTACAAACCACTGCTCAACGAAATAACAGAGGACACAAACAGATGGAGAAACATTCCATGTTCATGGTTAGGAAGAATCAATATTGTGAAAATGGCCCTAATGCCCAAAGTAATTTACAGATTCAACGCTATCCCCATCAAGCTACCAATGACCTTCTTCAAAGAACTGGAAAAAAACACCTTAAACTTCATGTGGAACCAAAAGAGAGCCCGCATAGCCAAGTCAATTCTAAGCAAAAAGAACAAAGCGGGAGCCATCACACTACCGGACTTCAAACTATACTACAAGGCTACAGTAATCAAAACAGCATGGTACTGGTACCAAAACAGAGATATAGACCAATGGAACAGAACAGAGGCCTCGGAGGCAACACAACATATCTACAACCATCTGATCTTTGACAAACGTGACAAAAACAAGCAATGGGGAAAGGATTCCCTGTTTAATAAATGGTGTTGGGAAAACTGGCTAGCCATGTGCAGAAAGCAGAAACTGGATTCCTTCCTGAAACCTTACACTAAAATTAACTCCAGATGGATTAAAGACTTAAACATAAGACCTAACACCATAAAAACCCTAGAAGAAAATCTAGGCAAAACCATTCAGGACATAGGCGTAGGCAAGGACTTCATAACCAAAACACCAAAAGCACTGGCAACAAAAGCCAGAATAGACAAATGGGACCTAATCAAACTCCACAGCTTCTGCACAGCAAAAGAAACAGTCATTAGAGTGAATTGGCAACCAACAGAATGGGAAAAAATTTTTGCAGTTGACCCATCCAACAAAGGGCTGATATCCAGAATTTAAAAACAACGAAAACAGATTTACAAGAAAAAAACAAGCCATTCAAAAGTGGGCAAAGGATATGAACAGACACTTTACAAAAGAAGACATACATGAGGCCAACAAATATATGAAAAAATGCTCATCATCACTGGTCATTAGAGAAATGCAAATCAAAACTACATTGAGATACCATCTCACGCCAGTTAGAATGGCGATCATTAAAAAATCTGGAGACAACAGATGCTGGAGAGGATGTGGAGAAACAGGAACACTTTTACACTGTTGGTGGGAGTGTAAATTAGTTCAACCATTGTGGAAGACAGTGTGGCAATTCCTCAAGGACCTAGCAATAGAAATTCCATTTGACCCAGCAATCCCATTACTGGGTATATATCCAAAGGATTATAAATCATTCTACTATAAGGACACATGAACACGAATGTTCATTGCAGCACTATTTACAATAGCAAAGACCTGGAACCAACCCAAATGCCCATCGATGATAGACTGGACAGGGAAAATGTGGCACATATACACCATGGAATATTATGCAGCCATCAAAAACGATGAGTTTTGGTCCTTTGTAGGGACATGGATGAACCTGGAAACCATCATTCTCAGCAAACTGACACAAGAGCAGAAAATCAAACACCGCATGTTCTCACTCATAGGCGGGTGTTGAACAATGAGAACACATGGACACAGGGAGGGGAGCACTACACACTGGGGTCAGTTAGGGAGAAATGGGGGAAGGATAGTAGGGGGTGGGTAGTTGGGGAGAAATAGCATGGGGAGAAATGCCAGATATAGGTGAAGGGGGGAGGAAGGCAGCAAATCACACTGCCATGTGTGTACCTATGCAACTATCTTGCATGTTCTTCAAATGTACCCCAAAACCTAAAATGCAATTAAAAAGAAAAGGAAAAAAAAAAGATTTCCGTCAACCAAAAAAAAAAAAAAAGTAAAAATGAGATGAGGTATCAGGTATTTTGTCAGAATAGGAAGGCTATGCCAAAATCTAGATCAAGCCAGAATCCCAGGTATTGGTACTTTTTAAATAACAGCACTTTTTAACTTGAATTATTTTTAAAAGTTTTATCTTTCTAAGTGAGCAACTAATGCAGAATAAATTGAATGCTAATCCCAGAATATACAAATCCTGACTTCTAATATATCATGAAAGTCATGCATTTGTCTTAGTTTTTATCCTATTTTTGTCTTTAACCAGAGTTTTTAAAATGATCATATTACAAACATGAAATCTTATTAGAAAATCCAGCACCCAACAGAATTACATACTGTTTTTAACTATATGGAACGTTAAAGACAAGGTGTTATTAAAGTATCTTTTCCTTTTTCTCTTCAAAATATACACATCCAACAGACATACCGAAAAAAGCCAATGAAGAAAGATCTGCAAGAGCCACCTGCAGGGAAAGAAGTCAAGAATGGTTTCTCCAAAGCCTACTTCACTGCCGCGAATGGCGTGATGAACAAGAAAGCACAATAAAGACGAGTCACAGAGAAAGCACATAGACTAGCCTCACAGATTCGCTTGTTTTAAAGCAAAGACTGAATTGAACGTTACATATTTTAGGATAAACTAATTTCTTTTGAGTTTATAAATCATTTGTACCCAGAATCTAGTACTATATTGTTATTAGGTTAATCTGTTAACTGAATGCTTTGATCAGCATTGAGGTGATGCTGACCTCCAAGGACCTCAGAACTAACTGGTGCAGCTTCTCCCTCCCACAGACTGAACCTCCGGCCAGAAGCTGTCCTTGTAACGCCTTACACACATAAACAGCCAGGAAACGTGGAGCACTGTTTCTCACAGAAAGTCTTCAAATAAAAAGAGTTTTGTTCAGATGAAAATGTTTAAAACAAAACATTAATTATATTCTAAATACAGGGTATGTTCTAATCTGTATGAAGCAATAATTGCCAGTGCATAATTTGTTCCTTTAGCAGTCGACCCCAGAAAATATTAGCGTGGGATCATACACGGAAGATAGAAAAATGTAGCCAAACTTCCTTCTCTAAGCCAGAGTCTTGTCTGTCAAATGCTCACAACCTCTCCTGATTCTAAACTCAGTGATACAGTAATGAAACTGATATTTATTTTATTTTAAAGATTAGTTATTCTAAGGAGAAAAAAAAATGCTTCTGCCATATTTTCCTAATTCAGGGGCTTTGGATAGGATTGTTGCTCCGTTTCCCTAATCAGTCATCAGTTCATGTCTCCCTCCTGTGCCAGACAGCCTAGGTTACTAAAGACGCCATGCTCTACACCATGGGCAGAGTACAACTCTGGCTGCCCATTTCCCTTCTGAGCAAGGACTGGAGTCCACTTTAAAATCTTTGAACATACATGCCACTAGAATATGTATAAATCAGAACTAGTGGAGTGATGGGGGCAAAATAGGCACTGAAGTTGTCAACTCTTTTTTGTCAGTCTATACTTGTGAATATGACCGCAGATACCTGTTGTCACTCTTTGCAGGTTATTTAAGTTTTAAACTGGGAGGAAAAAGATGGAGTAGCTGGAAAGATTCCAGCACTAAAGCCATGGGCTGATAATGAGCCACGATAAAAAATGCCGGTTTGGCAAACTCAGCACTCCCATTCCCTGCTCAGGTATATCCAGTCTCTACTGAGAAGCAAGCACAAAAACAGACAAAAGTACTAGTAAGCATTTTCTTTCCCCCTAAGTGCAGGACTGTTACTACTAAACTCTACCAGGAATGGAAACAAAGAATATTTTCTAAAGATTTTTTTGAAGATTAATTTTTTAAATAAGTTTTTGGGTCCTGACACTGACATCAAATACACACGCACCAGAAAGGCATTTCCACCACTCTCCCCACTCGTTACCGTCCAGTGTGCCTTTCTGTCTCTTTCTGCTTTTTTTCCCCAATAAGCTCTAGTTTAAAATTTTTCCGTTAAAAAAAATTGTACATTTACTTTATGTAAACTACCCTTCTGAGGATTTGGGCATATTTTTTGAAGGTACCTAATGCTTAGGATCATCTTGAGGGTGATGCACTGCACCTGTGTCCTTCCCTTCTGTGCATCCGACCCATTTCTGTTGAACAGATGTCTCCTGTCTAATGCCCCTTCCTCTTCCATTTATCTCTCTTAAGTCATTTTCTGAAACTCACTTGTCTAGGGTGCTTCGTCACCACTTCCGTCTTGCATCACCTTATAACTGTACTCACTGTCTTGTTCTCTGCCAGCAATTCATTTTAAAACAAGGGCTAGCTTCAAGCATGACTGTTACGGCTCCTCTATGACAAAACACAAGTCTGACCAAGGAGAAAGCCGCTTGGAGAAACTGGACCCTAGTTCAGTTTAGGTCTCAAACAGAGGTTAAAATCTCTTACCAAAGTACGTTCCAGGTGAAAATGAGACTTAGAGAAAAGCAGGCTGGTCTAACATGCTTGCTGGTCATCACATTCATACTTCCCAGTGAGGCCCTGAGGTCTCACTGCACAGCATACCTGCCACTTTGGATGTTTCCATGGGCTTCATATCTGTATGGCAAGGAGGGATTGTCCTTTAGCAGACAAAGTCAAGCAACATTAAGTTCAAGGCAGCTTGAAACCTCTGATCAAAGTGAAAAATGTGGTTTATACTTTCAAACCAATGCCAGGGATTAGAGACAGGTTTCATTCAGGATGCATATTTCCAATTTGGTCTTTAATTCAAGAGAGGCTTCATAAAACACATATAGCCTTAAACCACTCAAGGGCTAATTTAAAAAATAGAGTTTTGAAATCTCAGCCACAAAAAAAATAAATCAGGTAAAATTTTAACCTGTTAAGTGTTGTAAACGTCAAAAAACCAAAATGCTTATTTTAATGTATTTCTAAAACTACTGAAAAATTAATATTTCTATAACCTATTAAAGAAAAAAATGGAAAATATTTTCTCTCAATTTCCTGTTACCCATAGGAATTAAAACTTAAATACTGTAAAGCATATCAGTTATTCCCTCAGTTTTTAAAATTAACAAAATGGAATGTTAATGGAATTAAATTTTCAAGCCATCGAAATTAAACTAGTCATGTTGCAAGGTAAAGTCCTCACCCCTACATTAGAGAAATATTTTTTATTTTTCTTTTAAGGCAAAACAGTATTTACTGTGATGAGCAGAATAGCATTTTGTATGTAAGAGTCCATTTCAGTTCTTTTCAATATTTCCATATTGTTTTGTGAATGTTTCTTGGGGCTCACTTATTTGGAAAATATGGGTGTCACTTTGTGTTCCTTTGAAAGTAATTATATCTTAAGAACATAGTATCATGAATGGAGTGGACAAGGGAGGCTGGAGAAGCCATTTTTCTTTGTAGATAAAAAGCATTCTCTATGATTGTTGTATAATAAATTGATTTTTACACTAAATGCATGTTGCAGGTTTTATTTGGTTCAAAGAAGTTAAAATGTATGCCTGCATGGTAAATTCCAAATGACCTATCACTTGGGGGCTATTTTTACAATAAGGCATTATTTTAGCAATGAATTTTAGACATTCTTATTTCAGTGAGCAATGGGTTATTATATCATTACCATTACTTTGTACTCATATACCAGATTAAGCTATTTCAAAAAGTAGCCAATCACAAGAAAAAGTTAAGATTAGCAGAGGATATAAAGGTGATAATAAACAAATAAATTGCTATATAAAACCACCTGGAGAGGAGCTCTAGATTTGAGGAGAAACTACACTGTGCAATGCCCTGAAACCCGGGACTGCCCTTCACAGAGCTCCTGCACGGGTAGAGAGGTGGTTAGCTCAGCTCGGGAGGAGACGTAGGTGAGAGGCCTGACAGTGAGGATGCCTGGGAGAGTTGAGGCAAGGGGCAGGACCACAGGTTGGCATTTTGTCAGCGTAGAGAGTACAGTTTTGAACGTGATACCGAGTATAATGAGACACAGGTCCTAAAGAACTCTACAAAAAATGTGCTCAAAGTCTGATCACAAAGTTGCTTAAATTGCTGGATAGTGACAGGTGGGACAAGACAGATTTCCAGGAGGGGAAGAGGGAATGGGAGAAGACTTTTAACTATCTGAATGGGGGCTGGAGTTTGGGGTGGGAGGCTAGTATTTAAACAGGAGCCTTCTCTTTGTTATTTAAAATGGTGGGTAAAACTTAAGAAAACTTTGTGTTTAAAAATAAGAGAGAAATCCTCTGTCTCTCTGGCAAGCCTAATAACTGTTGTCACAAACTAAAAGAACTGCTTACACAACAAGTGTTCACATAAATAACCCTCTTAATTCCTTCACGTAAAGAAAAAATTCAGCATGTGTTTTTGTTATAGCAGGCTTTCTTCCAAGACAAATTACGTTCACATATTTAAGGAAGAGTTTCTCTCCAGGGCATGCAAGGAAATAATCACTCCTAGGAGACTAACCCTAGTCATCTCAGGATTCCTTGACCTTCAGTAAAACATGACTTTGAGTCATAAGGGGAAAAAGACTGAAAACTATTGATTTGTAGGTCATTTTTCCATCTTAAATTGCACTGCAGACACTGGAATAACAATGAGAGGACAAGGAAATCTGTAATCCAGACCCCCATTGAGCAATTGGTAAATTCAGTTGTTAGATATAGTGAACTCCAAGTTCGTCTTCAAAGAATCAGTATGTCAGTATGTTCAGCTCTCTTACTCTTTAATTCTCCATTTTAAAGTTTAACTTCCTTATAGTTTCAGTAAACAACCTTTTCTACCAGTTCTAATCAGTAGTTCACATCTGTTCCCCCGGTCCCCTGCTCTATCCTGACTTGTCCTGGTCACCTCCTCTGGTCACCTGCCCTGGTTACCTGCTCTGACCTGTCTCATAGCTATCCTTCCTGCCAAACTACCCACTCTGCCACTCCAGCTCATACCCCTGCTCTCTTTAAAATAGCCAATCAGAATTAGCCTAGACTGTGTGGTCTAACCCTAGCCAATAGGGGATCAACATAGCAGTAGGAGCTACCTCCATCAGGAATAAGAACTCCTTCCCATCCCTTGTCCAGGTGTGTGCTCACCATTGTTATATCTGAGAGCCGCACCCTTCATAGAAGTAAATTGCCTTGCTGAGGAAATTTATATTCAAGTGCTATTTCTTTTGTGGCACTGAAAATTTACATATAACAAGGTCATTGTGGATCTTGTGAGCAACCCCCCAGAAGCCTGCTCTGAAAGTGTCTGTGACCAAATCACATTTGGTAGGCTGAGGAAGGTGAAGCTTGTCACACATCCCTTGATGCTGCGTGTGCCATAGTCTATGGCTACCTGGACTCCTTCAGATGGGCATTTTCTCTTGTATTTGCCACAATCACCGTCACTCCATCACTCATTTTTTTTTTTTTTTTTTTTGAAACAGCCTCACTCTGTTGCCCAGGCTGGAGTGCAGTAGCATGATCTCAGCTCACTGTAACCTCTACCACCTGGGATCAAGCAATTCTCCTGCCTCAGCCTCCCAAGTAGCTGGGATTACAGGCATGTACCACCACTCCCAGCTAATTTTTTTTTTTCAGTAGAGACAGGGTTTCACCATGTTGGCCAGGCTGGTCTTGAACTCCTGATCTCAGGTGATCTGCCTGCCTTAGCCTCCCAAAGTGCTAGGATTATTGGTGTTAAGCCACCACACCCAGCCCGCTCATCCTTTTTATTCAGCCTATTAACCTGGCTGGCCCCTGAAGGCATTTGAATTTGTGTTGCCTACACATTAAACAAAAAAAGGAGAAAGTCTATACATTTTGCCTGGGCCCATATGATAAACTTAGAGGGAGATAAACACAGATATATCAGTAGTGGCACTAGAAACATGATAGATGTTGCAGATTTCTCTGAAAGATTGAAGCATTCTACATAAGATAGTTCATGTAGAACCAGCTTCTATTCTTTTAAAGCTAGCTTAGACCAATGGAGTTTGATAAACTCTGGAAATGGTTATATTCAGTTGAAAAATTCATCAAATCTTGTCCAGTGCTATGTATAGTAGGGATACAGAA